AAAAAATTTTTAAAATGAATGTAAAAAATTCTTTTTACATGTAATTGGAAACAATTAAATATTATTCAAATATTTTAAATGAAAATTTTGGAGGAAAAGATTTGGAAACAATAAACAACTTAGCAAAGAGGTACAAAATGTTACACTAGTAACAGATAGACTCCTTAAAAATTAAAATGGACCAAATAGAAGTTAATTACTTGATTACTTAACAATAGTCATTAAAACAAAGTCAAAAGATTGAAAAAAATAGAAGAAAATATATGTTATTTCAAAAAACAACTGACCTGAACAGCAGATCAAGGACAGAGAATTTTAAAAATATTGGACTGAAATTCATGACCATACCCTTCAAGCATACTTACATAATAAGAATCTATTACAAAGTCCCATTGATTTTACCTTTATAACATTTCTCCATACTCTCTAACACTGCTACTACTCTAGGTGCAGGCCCTTATTCATAGACTATTACAGTGGCCTTCTGATGGTCTTCCAATCCATCCTCCATTTAGTTGTCAGAATTGATCTTCTTACTAAAGGACAGATCTGACCATGTCCACCTTCCTATTAAAGAACTCTAGTGGCTCCTTATCACCTTCAGGATAAAATATAAAATCCTCTGTCATTCAAAGCCTTTAATAACATGGCCCTTTCCTAGTTTTCTAGTGTTCTTATAGCTTCTTCCCACACGCTCTGTGATCCACTGATAATTGACCTTCTTTCTATTCCTTGCACAAAACAAATCCACCTCTTGATTCTGTGCATTTCACCGGCTGCCTGTCATGCCTGGAATGCTCAATGCTCTTCCTCCTCATCTCCACCTCCCACTACCCTGAGTCTCTTCAAGTCACAACTAAAATCTCACTTTCCACAAGAAGACTTCCTTTTAAAAAATCATTTTAATTAATTTTTAAATCACAGAGTCTTTTTATTCTTTTTTTTTCAGTTCCAAATTTTGTCCCTTCCCCTCCCTTCTCACCTCCTCACTGAGAAAGCAAGAAAAACAAAACTGTCTACAAATGTATTGTTGTTCAGTCATTTTTCAGTCATGTCCAACTCTTAGTGATCCCATTTGGGGTTTTCTTGGCAAAGATGTTAGAGTGTTTTACTATTTCCTTCTCCATCTCATTTTATAGCTGAGGGAAATGAGACAAACAAGGTTAAGTGACTTGCTCAGGGTCACACAGGTAGTAAGTGTCTGAGGCAAAATTTGAACTCAGAAAGGTGAGTCTTCCTGACTCCAGGCTCTATGCCCTGTGCCACCAAGCTGCCAAAACACAAATATATATAGTCATGCAAAATAAATTTCGTCATTAGCCATATCACCTTCCCCACAAGAATAAAAGCAAGAAAAAGAAAGAAAAGAATATGCTTCAATCTTCTCTCTGAAACCATCAGTTATCTATCTAGAGGTGAATTTTATCATGAATCTTTGGCATTGTGGTGAGTCATCAGGTTGATCAGAATTAACTTTTCAAAGTTGAGTATCTTTACAATATTGATGTTATTGTGTATATTATTTTCTTAATTCTGCTCACTTTGCTTTCCATCACATAGTCAGCAAGCTAGGGAAAAGCCCTTTGGCATTTAAATTTTGTCTTTTGAACCTCTTGTTGGCTGACTAATTGACTCACTACATTCCCATCTCTTCCCATTTGACTCTTATCTGAGTTATTATATTTAAATTCCTTTTAATTCCTAGCATATCTATTTCCTAGTATGTAATTTCCCATGGCTTTACTTTGCAAGTTACAAAGGCTTTGGGGTAAGTCATGGTGGGAAGATTGTTTTCAACCCCATCAAGTCCTTCTAGTCTCAAGATAATCACAGGGTTGGAGCTGTGATAGTGGAGACTCAAAATAATGTCAGATTTTTCAACTTAAAAAAGAAAATAAAACAAACATAAGTAACTTTTTAAAAAGAAAAAAGTCTATTTCATCCAATAGAATATTAGCTCACTGAGGGTAATAAATGCCATTTTTGTGAACCTAATGGGAACCATGGAGCTCCATCCCCAGAGCATGTGCAGCATGCTCTGTTGACTGCAGGCCCATATGTAAGAGGCTTCCAGAAAAGCATAATGACACATAAGGGGAAGGGCCCTGCTTCTCAATTTGGAGCATGTGCAAACATTATGTGTGATGCTGCTCTGCTAATCAGGATGTGAAGAGATGGACTGTTCACTGTCTGGTAACTGGCTCTTAAGCCAGAACTGGGATGCATTCGAAAGGCACTAACCAACCAACCAAAGTCTATCAATCAATCAATCAATCAATCAATTAATATTTACTAGGTGCCTAATATATGGACCAGTCACTGTGCTGAACACTGGGAATACAAAGAAGCAAAAGGCAGTCCCTGCCCTCAAGGAGCTTACAATTTAATGGAAAAGACAACCTGGAAACATATATACAGAGTGAGCAATATACAGGGCAAATAGGAAATAATTAATAGAAGGAAGGCACTAGAATCAAGAGGGGTTGGGAAAGGTTTCCTGTAAACAAGGAAATTTTAGTTGGGACTTAAAGCAAGCCAGGGCAGTCAGTAGGTAGAGTTAAGGAGGGAGAGCATTTCAGGCATGAAGGACAGTCAGAGAAAATGCCTAGAGCCAAGAGATTGAATGTCTTGTTTGTGGAACAGTCAAGGGGCCAGTGTCACTGGATCAGAGTACTTGTACATGGTGGGAGGTAAGATGTAAGAAGACTGGGAAGGTAGGAAGGGGCTATGTTATGAAGGGCTCTGAAGGCCAAACAGCATTTTGTATTTGATCCTGGAGGTAACAGAGAGCCACTGAGACAGAATGTATGACTTTTTCTCTTTCCTGTCTGGTTGTGTTGAAGTGAGGGGGCAAAAATTACTTCAAGCCCTTGTTGGGAACAAAGGTCTCAGGACTTTATTTCCCGACCTAAGACTATTATTAAGTGGTCTATGAATTCATGGCCCTGCTATTACTTCTATTTCTGTCATATCTATTCTTTCCTGTTATTACATTAAGGAGTATTGGAAATGGCTGAGACCTTGCTAATTTTGAGAGGCCCAAAGAGCAGACCCCCAGAAGTCTGAGAGCCAGAGTTCATGCTGGGATTTGCCAGAAGCCAGAGGGTGCAGAATGAAATCCCTTACACCCTTTTTGACGCAGTAGAGATTACAGGCAGCCAAGAGAGAGCTACAGTGATTCATCCACTGGCTGTTCTGGGCTCATGCATGTGTTTGATAAAGAGGTTTGGGGAAAATTCTTGAATGGTATGGGGTGGAGTATGTGTGTGTGTAAGGGGAGAATAGTAAATTCTCACTCTTTTTTTTTTCTTTCCTTCCTTCTTTTTTTTCTCTCCTTTTCACCATTCCTTCCTCTCTTTCTTTCTTCCTCTCTTTCTTTCTTCCTTTCTCTTTCTTTCTTTCTCTCTTTCTTTCTTTCTTTCTTTCTTTCTTTCTTTCTTTCTTTCTTTCTTTCTTTCTTTCTCTCTTTCTTTCTTTCTTTCTTTCTCCTTCCTTAATTCAGAAATAAACTTGTTTGGGTAAACTCTGTGTAGAAACTTCAGTAAAAGTATGAGTCCACTCTCCCCAAACACTAAGGTAATTTAGAGTGCTCCAGGATATTAGGGAGCAAATGCTTTGTTACTTCTTTTCTTGCTATATTTCCATGATAAACATCCTTTTGTAAAAGCTAATTGATGTTTATTGGTTAAATGAAACTGACTTTTCCTCAAGCTCTTCTTACCTGAACTCCATTGAACAAGATGATAAGTATGGTTCTACAGTGATAATGATGATACAGATAGATAGAAGGAAAGATAGGGACTAAACCTTTGATTTCATTGATATAGGCAACTCTCACATGGAGAAACTTTCTATACCAATGCAGTTTGGTCACTTTTCTATAACTTAAGAGAGTTCACATATATCTATGACTTAAGAGGGTTTACCCTGGAGACACATAATCACTATGGGTCAGAAATAGCACTTGAACCCACTTGTATCTTGGGTCTCTCCTCCTCCTCTTTCTCCTCCTCGCCTCCTAATAATAGTAACAATTATATACTATTTTGTATATTTGTAGCGCTTTACAGTTGTAAAAGCACAACATACTTTTGTTCTGGGCATGTGCATGTGTTTGATAGAGAGGTTTGGGGAAAATTCTTGAATGGTATGAGGTGGGGTATGTGTATGTGTATAAGAGGAGAATAGTAGATTCTCAATTTTTTTCTTTCTTTCCTTCCTTCTTTCTCTTTTTCTGCATTTCTTCCTTCCTTTCTCTTTCTTTCTCTCTCCTTCCTTCCTTCCTTCCTTCCTTCCTTCCTTCCTTCCTTCCTTCCTTCCTTCCTTCCTTCCTTCCTTCCTTCCTTCCTTCCTTTTTCTTGGAAGGCCTGGCTGACCGTAAGGAAGAGGCCTGTTGAACAGAAAACTGAGAGGAGGATGCATGAAAATCCACTTATAACAGTCCTTCTGATTGAGGGAAGGAAGGGAGATGGGGAGGTGAGGCTGGGATGAGGGGCGGAGCCAAGTATGGAATCTGAAAGAGATTGTGGGCGGGCGCTGGGAGGGAGAGAGAGAGAGATGGTAGGCTTCTTATCATGTTAAGCATTCAGAGTGAGAGGCTCCTTGTTAGCTGAGGATGCTTAGAGAGCGGTAGGGTGTGCTGGGACTCCCAGCTTATCACCACGCGGACCCTGAGGCTCCAAGAACAGCTGGGTTGGCAGCAAAGCCTCGCCCATCCCCAAGCCCCATCCCTTCATCCTTGGCTAGCCATCAAAGAGCAGGACCGCTTGACACATCCTTGGAGAAACCCAGGCGAAGGAAAGGAAGAAGAGGAGTTGTCGGAAAGAGAGAAAAGGGAGGATGCGCCCCCCGGGAGTGGTGACGGTGCCGGCCATCTGATCCCTCGGCACCAATACGCCATTGTGAGCTGAGGGAAGCAGCCGGAGAAGCCCAGCGGGGGCCGCCGGCCGCCTCTGCCCAGACCGCGGCTCGCTCCCTCCCTCGGACCCGTCAGAGCTGCTATGGGAAGCCGGCCCACGAGGGCGAACGGCAGCCTCATGATCCTGCCCCTGCTCTGGCTCTTTGTGCTCCTCAAGGTAAGAGAAACGCCGACACCCTCCTGAGCTGCCTTTTTGGCCGCAGCGCAAGCTGGCTTAGCCCTGCCAGGCTCTGCCCTCTACAATGCGAGCCAGCTTTCTGGGATAGGACAGATGTGCGTTGGCTGCAACTGGGAGAGCCAGTTTTGCTCTTGGACTTGAGCATGGATGTTTATTCTCTTCATATTTCTTTGTATTGGGTTTGGGGCCTTATAGGGAAAGGGGGGGAGCAGTAAGAGAAGTTTGCCTCATCCCCTGTCGCCCTCCCATTGTGCTTCCCCACCCCCAACATTCAGAAATGGGAGTCAGAATCGAAGGTGGGCTTGTTGGCTAAAGCTGTCTAAGGAAGAATGAGGTCACTTTCCACGCACCTAGGCCGTTGCTTTGCTCCCCCAACCTGGAAGAGTATATTGCTCTGTCTTTAATTTCTTTCCTGGCTGTAGACTACAGATGCTAGCTATAATTATGCATTTTTTCTTGAACTGAGAGACTAAGCCACATTGAGTATTGTGGATGAATCTCTTTGGAAATCATTATCTTTGCTATTAGGCATGGGTAAATAATAACTTTCTAGGATTTTTCCTTTCTTTTTTTCAAACAGGAGAGGAATCACAGGTCCTTGGCATATTGATGCATTTGGGAAGGTGCCATCATGAATAGTAAATGTTTGGAATCCTGTTACATTTAACTTTTCAATATCTACTTTGAACAATTGCATTTCAAGTATTTTTCTTGAGGGGAGAGGGTGATCATTGAATATTTGCAGTAAGCAAAAATAATAATCATAAGATCATAGAGCTGAAAGGGACCTCAGAGGCTATTTATTTGAAGCCCCTCATTTTACAGATGAGGTAACTGAGGCCCAAAGAGGTGATGTGACTTGTCCAAGATCACACAGCACTGATTATTTTTAAAACTTTTTTCTGCAAGTTGCTAAGTGTCTGTACTCTACAGTATAAACTTGCTGAAGATTTTCCTGAGAAGTGGTGTGAAGTTGTAAATTAATTATCTCCCACTCTGTCTTCAAGAGTTCTGTTTTAATTTTTTCATCAGTCACTGCATTCCTCAGCAAATTGAAGAATATAGACAAGAGAATGGGAGCTGTCCTTTTAGCACTAGGGTAATATGTAATCTTGGGCATCAAGGAGACATTAATGGATGGAAATGGTTCTCATATCAGAGATGTTCAATTCTTGTTTGTATACTCCATGAATTAATGAATATTTGTCTGTGAGACTGGTGCTACACCAATAGGGGTGATATTTTATTTTAAATCTCTCATATTCCCCACTAAAGTCCTGCTCATCTTACTACAGCAGTGACCCTGGATCAAAGGCTAAGGTAGACCACAAGCTCTGACAGGTTCTACCAAGCTGCAAAGGCTTTGAGTACAGGCCAAGTGATGTCTCTTGTCTGGGTACAAGCCAAGTTCAGAAAGGCTCATCACTGAGTTGGCTGCATAAAAAATTGATCTCAAAGATGATCTACTAATGTATAGAGGAAGTGCCATCTGTGTGAGTGAAATAAATGCTCATACTTATGAAATTATGAATCCTTAAATATTAAGTATATTCTGGTTTACCTTGATGGCAAGAAAATAAGGCACACAAGGAGACATAAAAAAATATTTATGAGCAACTTTTGCAATACCTTTTAGACCTACAGGAAGAAGCAGCAAAGAAAGAGATTTAAATTAAATGATTTAACATAAAGTCTATTAAGTTAGCAACTATTTCTAAAAGCTTTTTCTGTAGGGAAAATTTGATTAGGCATAACACTTTCCATTTTGGATTTTGTCCTTACTAATGCTTGCGGTTTCTTGTGAAGTGTCTCTGAATTTTTCTCTGCTATTTAAAGACTCTTATCATTAAAAGGTTGACCACCAGGTGATTTGAAGTGGGGGCAGGGAAGCTCAGTAAGACCATGTACTATGGTGCTGTGATCTGTGTTGAAGGATATATCAATGCAATTACAAATTTTACTACCTTTTCAACTTTCATAACACAGAATCTGAACAAAAGGTAAATAGATGTCACTTATGTGTTTGACTATGACACATGGCATCTAAATACCTGAAAACACCTGGATGATTCCTTTTTTGAAGAAACTTTTCATCCAAACAGATAAGACCTTTTGGCATAAAATTAAAAGTCTTTACTGAATGATGTAACAGTGGAAAGAGCACTGAATTTGGAATCAGAGAAACTAGATACAAATTGTAGTTCTGTTACTATCAGTGTAATGAGTGACTTTGGGTATGACTGAGTCATCAAAAACATTATATTTGAATATAGAGTGGTTACTCATGTGTGATGAGTCATAAACCATTCACCAAAAAAGAAATAACCACCCAAAATATACTCTTCCATAGTTTTATGATGGCCAACATATCTTCTGAGTCCATGTATTACCCATGATACATAAGTTAAAGCCTCTGAAGTCAAGGGTACTTTAACACTAGACTATATTTATAACTTTATTTCTCCTGCCAGTGTTGACTAACTGATGTTCCCTAAACTTAAACCTTACAAAATAAGCAATAGAATAGCCTATATGGCTCTTTTAGCTATATATTAGTGAAACACAAGTTCAAGCACCTTATTTTTACGATAAATCCATTGTTTTGTTTCCTATCTTTCATCAGATGCCGTGAGATTAATTAATATATGAATAGTTATGAAGACTATTGTGAATACTATGAAGATTATTAAGTAATTTTTGTTTTTTTTTTCCCGTAACATTTTGGTATTTGTAAAAATAACTGCAGGAATAGATGCCTATAAGCTTATAATTTTGTGATCCTTAGTTAAGGAGCTAATGAAGTAAAAGGCGGTAAAGTGTCAGGGAAAGGGATCAAGATTGGGAGTAAGGGGAGTTCTGGGCGCCATTCCAGGCCACTCGTGTCACTTCAGGTCAGTCATTTAATCTCCCTGGTCCTCTGCTTCCTTATCAGCCCAATGGGAATTGGGCTGGATTACTCTCGAGTCCTTTCCATGTCGAAACCTATGATCTTATGAATGCAACCCAAACTTGTCTCTGCTGTCTCATTCTTCTGAAACTTTCCATAATTATCTTAACGACAATATAAGAATTTGGACCCAAGAATGTCAGGATCATTGTCTAATTCCAAAACCTTACCTCCGGGTCACCACCATTTATTCTTTCATCAATTTAGATAGAATATGGAAGATGCCAACATATGCCTTCACGGTATCTTCTGGTTCATGCCCACTAACTATGGATGTTCCTCAAGTCCTCTTGGACCCTCTTCTTTTCTCCTCTATACTTTCTCACTTCATGATTTCATCAGCTCCAATGAATTCAGTTATCATCTCTACGCAGATAATTCTCAGATCTACAAAGCCATCCCTAACCACTCTCTTGTGCTCCAGTATTACATCACTAAACTGCTCTTAGACGTCTTAAACTGGATGCCCTGTGGCCATCTCAAACTCACCATGTCCAAAATAGAACTCATTATCTTTCCCCCAAAACTTTCCCATCTTCCAAATTTCCCTAATACTATTACTAATACATCCTCCCAGTGACTGAAGTTTACAACCCAGGAGTTGTCATCCTCACCCCGCACATCCGATCTATTGCCAAGTTTTGTTTACTGTACTTTCACAGCTTCTCTTGTATATGTAACCTTCTCTCTTCTCACTGAGCCACTTACCTTGATGGAGGCCCTTGTTATGTCATGCCTGGACTTTTGCAATAGTCCTTCTAATTGACCTCATGCTTCAAGTTTTTACCTATTCCAATCTGTCCTTCACTCAACTGTCAAAGTGATTTTCCTACGTAGGCGTACCTCAGAGAGACTGCAGGATGGAACTGTTGTGGTTCCAGACCACTACAATAAAGTGAATATCACAAGTGAGTCACAAATTTTTTGGTTTCACAGTGCATATAAAAGTTATGTCTACACTATCTGTAGTCTATTAAGTGTGTAATAGTATCATGTCTAAAAAAACAAGGTACATACCTTAATTTAAAATACTTTATTGCTAAAAAATGCTAACCATCACCTGAGCCTTCAGTGAGTTATAATCTTTTTTGCTGGTGGAGAGTTTTGCCTTGATGTTGATGGTTGCTGACTGATCAGAGTGGAGGTTGCTGAAGGCTGGATGGCTGTGGCAATTTCTTAAAATAAGACACCAATGAAGTTTGCTGCATTTATTGATTCTTCCTTTCACAAAAGATTTCTTTGTAGTGTGTGACGCTGTTTGATAGCATTTTACCCACAGTAGAATTTCTTTCAAAATTGGAGTCATTCCTCTCAAATTCTGCTGCTGCTTTATCAACTAAATTTATGTAATATTCTTCAATATTGTTGTCTCAGGGAATAGGGAGGCCCATGGAGAGGGAGAGCTATGGGGGAACAGCTGTTTAGTGGAGCACACACAGTATTTATTAAGTTCTCTGTCTTATGAAGGCGTGGTTTGTGGCACCCCAAAACAATTACAATAGTAACATCAAAGATCATTGATCACAAATCACCATAACAGACATAATAATGAGAAAGTTCGAAATATTGTGAGAATTGTGAAAATGTGACACAGAGATATGATATGACCATATGCTGTTGGGAGAAAATGGCTCCTATAGACTTGTTTGATGCAAGGTTGCCACAAATGTTATATTTGTAGAAACAAAAAAAAAACAAAAACAAAAACAAAAATGCAATATCTGCAATGCATAATAAAGTGAAGTGCAATAAAATGAGGTATGTCTGTATTGAAGTTCTGACTGTCATCCCCCCCAATCAATAAACTCTAATAACTTTCTGTTACCTCAAAGATAAAATATAAAATACTCTGTTATTTAAATTGATTTACAACTTTGTCCTTTTCTTACTTTTTCAGTTGTCTTACACTTTACTTTCTTCCACATACTCCATGATCCAGAGACTCTGGCCTCCTTGCTGTTCCTCACACATGACACTCCATCTCCCCACTCCATGTCTTTTCATTAGCTGCTTCCCCAAGGTGGAATACTTT